AAACCCACCCGTGCCCCCCCAGAGGACCTGGGCGTGCGGCATCGCCTGTGGGTGTACTCGGGCCGGAGGGGCGTCCACTGCTGGGTGTGCGACGACGCCGTGAGGAAATGGTCACCAGCGCTGCGGGCAGCGGCTGTGGAGTACCTGAGCCTGGTCAAGGTGGGTGCACGGGGGGCAAAGGGACCCCCTGAACTTGGGGAATGTGGGTTTATGGGGGTCTGGGCACCCCCTGACCCTGGGGAATGTGGGTTTATGGGGGTCTGGATATCCCTGACCCTGGGGAATGTGGGTTTGTGGGGGTCTGGGCACCCCCTGAACACCCCCTGACCCTGGTGAAGGAGGGTTTAGGGGGTCCAAGCACCCCTTGACCCTGCTGAAGATGGGTTTATGGGGGTCTGAGCACCCCCTGTCCACTCTGACCCTGGAGAAGGTGGGGTTTTGGGGGTCTGGGCACCCCCTGACCCTGGGGAATGTGGATTTATGGGGGTCTGGGCACCCCCTGACCCTGGGGAATGTGGGTTTATGGGGGTCTGGATATCCCTGATTCTGGAGAATATGGATTTAGGGGGGTCTGAACACCCCCTGACTCTGCTCAAGGTGTGTTTATGGGGTCTGAACACCCCCTGACCCTGAAGATGGGTTTATGGGAGTCTGGGCACCCCCTCACCCTGCTCAAAGTGGGTTTATGGGGGTCTGGATACCCCTCACTCTGGTGGAGGTGAATTTATGGGGTCTGAACACCCCCTGACCCTTGTTGAAGGTGAGTTTTTGGGGGTCTGAATACCTCTCACCCTGAAAAAGGTGGGTTTACGGGGGTTTGAACACCCCCTGACCCTGCTCAAGTCGGGTTTAGGGTGTCCAAACACCCCCTGACCCTGCTCAAGTCGGGTTTATTGGGGTTTGAACACCCTCTAACCCTACTCAAGGTGGGTTTATGGGGTTTGAACACCCCCTAACCCTGCTCAAGTTAGGTTTAGGGTGTCCAAACACCCCCTAACCCTGCTCAAGTTGGGTTTATGGGGGTCTGAACACCCCCTGACCTTGCTCAAGGTGGGTTTAAGGGGTCTGGGCACCCCCTGACCCTGCTGAAGGTGGGCTTTGGGGGTCTGGATACCCCTTTGTGTGATGGAGGTAGATTTATAGGGTCTGAACACCCCCTGACCCTTGTTGAGGGTGGGTTTAGGGGGTCCAAACACCCCCTAACCCTGATGAATGTGGATTTATGGGGTCTGAACACCCCCTGACCCTGCTCAAGTTGGGTTTAGGGTGTCCAAACACCCCCTGACCCTGCTCAAGTTGGGTTTATGGGGTTTGAACACCCCCTAACCCTGCTCAAGTTGGGTTTATGGTGTCTGAACACCCCGTGATCCTGGAGAAGATGGATTTATGGGGGTCTGGGCACCCCCTCACCCTGCTCAAGGTGTGTTTATGGGGTCTGAACACCCCCTGACCCTGCTCAAGTCGGGTTTAGGGTGTCCAAACACCCCCTAACCCTGCTCAAGGCGAGTTTATGGGGTCTGAGCACCCCCTGACCCTGCTCAAGGTGGGTTTAGGGTGTCCAAACACCCCCTGACCCTGCTCAAGTTGGGTTTAGGGTGTCCAAACACCCCCTAACCCTGTTGAAGATGGGTTTATGGGGTCCAAATCCCCCCATCCTGACCACCGCTGTCCCCCAGGGCGGAGCGGACACTGTGAAGAAGGTGAACCTCTCTCACCCCATCCACCCTTTTATCAGGTGGGTGGGCACCCCTCACCCCGACCCCACAGGGGTGCCAGGAGGGCRCTGACCCCATCCCGCTGCCCACAGGCGCTCGGTTGACGTGGTGGAAAAATATTTTGAGGAGTACGCCCTGGTGGGACAGGACATCCTGGGCAACCCCGAGAAATGGGGGAAAGTGCTGGCCCTGATCCCGGAGGATATCCTTTAGGAGGGAGGGGCTGAGGNCACCCCCTGACCCTGCTCAAGTTGGGTTTATGGGGTCTGAACACCCCCTGACCCTGCTCAAGTTGGGTTTAAGGGGTCTGAACACCCCCTGACCCTGCTCAAGTTGGGTTTATGGGGTCTGAACACCCCCTGACCCTATCAAATGTGGGTTTATGGGGGTCTGAACACCCCCTGACCCTGCTCAAGGTGGGTTTATTGGGGTTTGAACACCCCCTGACCCTGCTCAAGTCGGGTTTATGGGGTCTGGGCACCCCCTAACCCCGCTCAAGTTGGGTTTATGGGGTCTGGGCACCCCCTGACCCTGCTCAAGTTGGGTTTAAGGGGGTTTGAACACCCTCTAACCCTGCTCAAGGTGGGTTTAGGGGGGTTTGAGCACCCCCTGACCCTGCTCAAGTTGGGTTTATGGGGGTCTGAACACCCCCTGACCTTGCTCAAGTTGGGTTTATGGGGTCTGAACACCCCCTAACCCTGCTCAATTTGGGTTTAGGGGGGTTTGAACACCCTCTAACCCTGCTCAAGTTGGGTTTAAGGGGGTTTGAACACCCTCTAACCCTGCTCAAGGTGGGTTTAGGGTGTCCAAACACCCCCTAACCCTGCTGAAAGTGGGTTTAGAGGGTCCAAGCACCCCTTGACCCTATTGAATGTGGGTTTATGGGGGTTTGAACACCCCCTGACCCTGCTCAAGGTGTGTTTATGGGGTCTGAACACCCCCTGATCCTGGAGAAGATGGATTTATGGGGGTCTGGGCACCCCCTCACCCTGCTCAAGGTGTGTTTATGGGGTCTGAACACCCCCTAACCCTGCTCAAGTCGGGTTTAGGGTGTCCAAACACCCCCTAACCCTGCTCAAGTTGGGTTTATGGGGTCTGGGCACCCCCTAACCCTGCTCAAGTCGGGTTTATTGGGGTTTGAACACGCCCTAACCCTGCTCAAGTTGGGTTTATGGGGTTTGAACACCCCCTAACCCTGCTCAAGTTGGGTTTAGGGTGTCCAAACACCCCCTAACCCTGCTCAAGTTGGGTTTAGGGTGTCCAAACACCCCTTAACCCTGCTCAAGTTGGGTTTATGGGGTCTGGGCACCCCCTAACCCTATTGAAGATGGGTTTATGGGGTCCAAATCCCCCCATCCTGACCACCGCTGTCCCCCAGGGCGGAGCGGACACTGTGAAGAAGGTGAACCTCTCTCACCCCATCCACCCTTTTATCAGGTGGGTGGGCACCCCTCACCCCGACCCCACAGGGGTGCCAGGAGGGCACTGACCCCATCCCGCTGCCCACAGGCGCTCGGTTGACGTGGTGGAAAAATATTTTGAGGAGTACGCCCTGGTGGGACAGGACATCCTGGGCAACCCCGAGAAATGGGGGAAAGTGCTGGCCCTGATCCCGGAGGATATCCTTTAGGAGGGAGGGGCTGAGGAGGTTAAAATGGGGTTAAAAATGGGGTTAATGGGGTTTTTGGGGTTAAAATGGGGTTAAAAATGGGGTTAATGGGGTCTATGGGGTTAAAATGGGGTTAAACATGGGGTTAATGGGGTTTTGGGGGGTTAAAAATGGGGTTATGGGGTTTGTGGGGGTTAAAAATGGGGTAACAGGGTCTACGGGGTTAAAATGGGGTTAAAAATGGGGTTATTGAAGTCTGCGGGGTTAAAAATGGGGTAACAGGGTCTGTGGGGTTAACATGGGGTTAAAACACGGGGTTAAAATGGGGTTAAACACGGGATAACGGTCTGTGGAGTTAAAATGGGGTTAATGGGGTTTTGGGGGGTTAAAGATGGGGTTGATGGGGTCTGCGGGGTTAAAATGGGGTTAAAAATGGGGTTAATGGGGTTTGCGGGGGTTAAAAATGGGGTTAAACGCGGGGTTAAACACGGGCTTAAAATGGGCTTAAACACGGGCTTAAAATGGCCTTAAACATGGGCTTAAAATGGGTTTAAACACAGGCTTAAAATGGGTTAAAATGGGCTCAAACACAGTTTAAAATGGGCTTAAACACGAAGTTGAAACACAAGCTTAAAATGGGATTAAACATGGGTTAATGAGGTCTGTGGGGTTTAACATGGGCTTAAAACACAGGGTTAAAATGAACTTAAACACCGGGCTTAAAGCACGGGCTTAAAATGGGTTCACACACAGGCTTAAAATGGGTTTAAACACGGGTTTAAAATGGGCTTAAACACGGGCTTAAAATGGGCTAAAACACGGGCTTAAAATGGGCTAAAACACGGGCTTAAAACCTTAAACATGGGCTTAAAATGGGTTTAAACACGGAGTTAAAACACAGGGTTAAAATGGGCTTAAACACAGAATTAAAACACAGCGCTAAAATGGGCTTAAACACGGGCTTAAAATGGTTTAAAATGGGCTTAAACACGGGCTTAAAATGGGCTTAAACACGGGCTTAAAATGGGTTTAAACACGGGTTTAAAATGGGTTAAAATGGGCTCAAACACGGTTTAAAATGGGCTTAAACACGAAGTTAAAACACAGGCTTAAAATGGGTTTAAACACCAGCTTAAAATAGTCTTAAAAACGGGCTTAACAGCATCAGAGTAGTTTAGACCGAGCCTTGACCCAGCCCAGCACAGCACCGCGAGCCTCTGCAGGCCGAGTTCCCCAAAAAGAAGGACTCGGTTCAGCGCTGGGAGCTGCTGCGGGGTCGAGCYGAGCGGGCGCGGGCGTCGGGGCGGCCGTTCTTCGCCGATTGGGAGGTGATGCTGCAATTCTGCTTCCCTCGGCTGGACATCAACGTCAGCAAAGGTTTGGGGCATCTCCTAAAGAGTCCCTTCAGCGTTCACCCCAAAACAGGTGGGTTTGGGGTGGTGGGGGTTTGGGTTTTAATGTGGGGGAGGTG